CAAAATATTGACTCGCAATTGTTGTATGATGAAGGTATGGAGATTCATCTATTTAACTTCTTTCAAATTCGCCTCTTACAACATGTAGTTCATTTTTATAATATTTTGATTTTTTTTTAACAGATTAGTTTTTGAACCTGATTAAAGAGTTTGATCAATCTTCGGCGATGGAGAGTCTCAAGTACTATTGTTTTGCTTTTTGGATCAAATCTTCGGGGTTACACCTACAATTTATGTTTTGGTTTTTTTTAGTTATTTTAGATTTGTTCTATTACATAGAGATTTAGTACGTTGGCCATATTATAATTCATTCTTATTCCATAAGTAAATACAACAGACATACGTACATGCACAAAACTAAATATTATAATTTATGTATACAAACTCCAATGACTAATCATTATAAAATGCAGTACTTAACATACTTATTCTCTACCTTCAAACTAAAAAAATCAATCATACTTTTTCAAACTAATCGATTCTACTTACAAACTAAAACAATACTTATCACACTTTGAACATATTATGACACAATACGAAAGCTAAGTCTAGTTTACAACATATAAAACGAATGTTCCTGCACAAAGTGCGGGTGAGAATCTAGTACATTCATTAAAAAACCAGCTCGTTGATTGGTCTGGTTATCTAATTAAGAGAAAGCAAATATTCAACAAAAAGAATCCAAAATTTTAAGTCGTAAAAAATGAATTTGCCTGCATATTATAAAATATATAAATTTATTAGATTTGGAATTTTGATGAATCCAATCCAAACCTTAGTATTTTGCATCTTAACGTGCCTCATATAGTCATATAGTCCAGCTTATTCGTCGTAGTTGTAATCGTCTTTACTCCACTCTATCTAACGTAGGCGCAACTTCGTCTAGCTTCCTAGGGAAACATGTGAAAGAAATTATCTAATTAAACATTTTTGAAAACTCGATCTTTGATTCTAAATGCAGCATTGAAACATAACTTCACAATCTTTTTAATAACAGAACTGATCCATCTTTGTTGAGACTTCACAATTATTTCAATTGCAAACATAAAAAAAAAAGGAACACAAGATTTAGTTCTATATTGGTTTTTAGTTTTATATTGGTACAATCGATTCTCTACTTTATTTTGTAATCTCAAGAAGAACTCAGATTAAGTGATCAATGATCTAAATACTTCAGAGGAACAAGTAGAAGCTCATTTTTCTTGCTCACATTGAGTCCAGGAGATTCTTCAATGTCGATATCTTCGACCACCATGCCTTCTGGTAAGTTCCAATTAAAATGATACAACATATTTGCAAGACCAAACTCCACCATTGTTGTCCCCATGTAAATCGCAGGACAAATTCTCCTGCCGCTCCCAAACGGTAACAACTCAAAGTTCTGTCCTTTTGCATCAATGTTATTATCAAGAAACCTCTCTGGTAGAAACATCTCTGGGTCTTTCCAGGCATCAGGATCACGTCCAATAGCCCAAACATTCACATAAAGCCGTGTCTTGGTTTGCATCCTGTAGCCATTGATCTCGAATTCAGACATTACTTCTCTTGGAACCAGAAGAGGTCCTGGAGGATGTAGCCTCCATGTTTCTTTGATCACCATTTTCAGGTAATGGAGCTGATCTATGTCATCCAAGCTTATCATTGACTTGTTGCCAATTTGATTTCTGATTTCGGATTGCACTTTTTTCATTGCTCGCGGGTTTCTCATAAGTTCTGTCATTGCCCATGTCATTGTTATTGCAGAAGTACCAATGCCCCCAATAAGAACATTCATCAAGATTGCTTTGATATGGTTTCTTGTGAGCTTGCCATATCCAAGAACAGTTTCTTCTTTCTCCAACCTCAATAGCAAGTCCACGAAATCTTCGACTCCTTCTTTGTTTCCTTGTTTATGCATATCAAACATTTGTTCATAGAACGCATCAAGATCTCTCACGCTACTCTCTCTCCGCCCTTGTAAACCCGTGAGCCAGTCGATGATCCAACCACCATTTGGAAAATAATCCGAGGCAGAGAAGCTCCCCAAAAACAAAAATGACTCGCGGATTAACTTGTCGAATCTATCATTGTTGAGCACAGTTGCGTGGAAACTCACACCAAATGTTGCCTTGCATGTCACGCCTACGGTTAAACCAAGAAACTTCTCGCTCAAGTTAACCGGTGTTTTGCGAAAAGCTGATTCTGTGACTGAATCGATGAGTTTCTTGACTTCCTCGTCTTTAATAGGTTGAATCGAGTGAACTCGTTTAGCACTGAAGAGCTCTTGCACACAAATCCTCTTTAGTTCTTTCCAATAATCATCAAAGGGAGCGAAAGCAATGTCCAAGTAATTGTAAGAGAGCTTTCTTGGTCCTACTAAGCTTGGACGACTACAACAATGGAGGTCATAGATTTTGAGAACTTGTTTTGCTGTTTCAGAGGAAGAAACTACGACCGTTGGGACTCTTCCAAGCTTCAAAAACATCACAGGACCATACTTTTTGGAGAGTCTCCATAGAGATTGATGAGGTAATTCTCCGATTTGATGTAAGTTTCCGATAATCGGAAATCTAGAAGGAGATGGTGGTGTTCGTTGATGTTGCCACCGTTTCTTGTGGTTGAAGGTGGCGAGAAGAATACAAATGAGGAAGAGAAGTGAGAGAAGCCAAATGTTATCCATATCTAATTTAATGGCTCATGAAGGAATGAGCTCTTTAGGATATGCTTTTAATATTCAACTTTATAAAATAATGAAAATAAATAATTTATTTTAATTTCTTTGTGTGGTCGATTGAATTTGGCCCTTTTATTAATAGAGAACGAAAGGTTCTTCATACAAACAATAACGTCAAAATTACATTTTACATAGTAACTCAAAAGTGACATATCTCGCCTTTGTGCGAACATTTAATGCAGTATGCATGTTATGTTTTTTGGCTCTTTGTGCTATAAATTTTTTCACTTTCTTTGTGGCAGGTTAAAAGAGATTAGACTGTTAATGCCATGTTTCTAGTGAATCTGGATTGTTTGGGCACCTATTGCTTTAACTTCTCTATTATGTAGTATGTCTTCTTTTCAATGTTCCCATTTTTTTTTAGTMGTTTCGTTGCAGGCAGGTTTGAGTCGAAGATTGCAAATGCTTCGGCTCTCATCCTCTTCAAAGGCTCAGTAAGCCAGTGTACATATACGCTTGTAGCCCAAATCATGATTGATTATTTTTTCTCAGTTGCAGTTTCAATCTCGGACATTGAATCACTATGTGTGTTCTTTGTTTCCGGCATCGTCTCACATCTTAGCAACATTGTCGTCGATCTCCTTCGAAGCTTTAGTTGTTTAAGTACTTGATGGCATTTGTTTTCATGCTTTGTAAACAATTCTTGTCTTCATGGAGAATAATTTGATTTATAAAATCATGGTTTGGCAAAAATAAAACATATAACTCAAAGTATAAACTCAAATAGAAAGGAGAAACCCCAAAACGGTAGGTTTATATGGAATAAT